AAATTGTACTCTATATGCTTCCCACAGTGCCTTCCCATCAAATTCATGTGGCTTACTTCGTACTAGATCACCCCTATTGCTGACACTCTTGTCTGGAATGTGACTTCAAACATGACTGAAGATGTCTGCATTAGGGTTTAGCTGCGGGTCTGGAAGAGGCTTCCCGTTGTCTGAGGCTGATAAGATCCATGGCTAATATATCTTCCTTGTGTGAAAGACAGTAAAGCATCCTTTAATGTATTTAATTCACTTTGAAATTTACTAATGTTTTCCATTAGTACTTCTTGCCACTTTTGTTGACTTTCCTGTAGTTGCTGCTGACTTTCCTGCAACTGTTGGATACTTTCTTCCTGTTTCCTTTCTTGTTCCAGTTGCCACTGCTGTAACCTCTCTTCTTGTTTATTTTCTTTCTCCTCCAACTACTGCTGTAGTCTCTCTTATTTATTTTGCTGTTTGAGCTGCCAGTGTTGCAGGTTTTCTTGCCACTGCTGTTGTCTCTCTTCTTGTTTCTTTTCTTTTTCCTCCAACAACTGATTTAATCTCTCTTCTTGTTTCTTTTCTCGGTCTTCTTGTTTCCTTTTTTTTATTTCCTCCAACAACTGCTGTAATTTCTCTTCTTGTTTCTTTTCTTTTTCCTCCAACAACTGCTGTAATTTCTCTTCTTGTTTCTTTTGTTTTTCTTCCAACAACTGCTGTAATCTATCTTTGTTTTTCTAATAAAGATTGAAAATGATTGTTAAGTTTAGAGGACATACAAACTGTAGCTACTTTTATTACTAAATTGCCTTGGAATATTACTCTAAAAAAGAATGAATATATTTCGTTTGTTACGAATATAACTATTAACGCAATGCTCAAATAATTTTATCTCATCTAGTGTACGAAAGTTTGGATCTATTAGTGAACAAATACTCAAAGGCTATATTTTTTTTTTCGGTACACAAATGCTCATAGATTTGTTAAATTATTTTCTGTAGAAATATTCTTGTATTTTTCTGGAAATTCATAGTCGTTAAATAAATGAGTAATCTTTTATACAGTGTATTTTATTTATAGTTGATTATAGCATTTTGATATTTCTCAGTATACACTAAGAAATATTAAAATGCCAAAGAGTTCAGAATGGATTATTCAATTGTTCATTGTTCAAATACTTGTAACTAATGTTCTAAGATCGTGAAGCATGATTATAGTAATTTTTTACAACAAAGTAGAAAAAAAACGGCATTCACTCTCTAGATAATTAACAAAAAACATTTAATGCAACCAACGTTTCGCCATTGTGGCTCCATCGGGGATTCTACAAAAAACTGATTAATATGAAAAGACTCGTTAATTTATATTTTCGAATTATTAAGATACAAGCCCTGAAAAAGCCACAATTGCGAAACTTTGGTTTAAGAACATTTAAGTATCTGGAGATCAAAGGTCTTTTTTTTTCTAAATTTTTCTTCTAAGATGGCTAAATCCTTCCAGTATACAATACAAATCCAGGAAAACAACAAAACATCTTTATAAGTAATTACGTTTGTCAAATTAATGATGATAACACTACATTCACTATACAGTCAATTAGAAATGTTTAAGAAAACGAATAGCATACAATAGTTAATTATACTTGTCATAAGACGTTAGTGTTAGGCCTGTTATATCTTTCTACACTACATCTAGTCCCTTAAGGATTTTCAAGAATTAAATAAATGTATAATAACAGTATTTCACCCACATTCATACCCATCATATCCACCCACGACGACGCGCCTGGACTATTTCAAAACTTTATGTATATATTTTGATGAACATAAATTTGGTAGGATTTGAAAACACAAACATTAGAAGAATGTCAAACATGTTATTGTTGGGTAAATTATAACGAGGAATTAACTCTTCATTACATTTAAAAAATTAGATTTCAACCAAAAATATACTTTAAAAAAATATTTATTAAAACGTTCACAAGTTGAACAAAATTAAACTTGCACTTCCAAAACGTTGAGTGCAGATTTTTTCAAATGACACAAATGATTATATTGTTACGTCTCCATTCGTTAGCTAATTTTCCATAACTTCGTTCCGACGAAACTTTAGCGACACAAGTCCTTTAATAAATAAAACTGGTTTATTCTTTCTGAATATAACTTTGCGATACACTTAATTTCAACAGTCGCGCTATAACAAACGCTATAACAACGAACGTCTCACGTGCTCAACTTCAATAATACTCAGTTCAATTACACACTATCTGACTGCAGTTCAATTACTCATTAACTTCCCGTCGCTTCGTGGCCGGTCTTATATATACAAGACTACACTATATCTAGAAGGATCACGAGATTTAAGGAAAAGACGTGAAAGTTCGAGAATGACGTGGCGTGACACTAGTCACGTGACCTCGATGTCGTAACAATATGTTTGGTTATCTGTTAAATTTTGCGTAAAGCTATTCGAGGTCTGTCTGTGCTAACCATCCCTAAAGGGAATGTAGCTATTCAACACTACCTACCATCAACTCTTGGGTTATTTTAATCAAATATTGGAACTAACCATAGTTAAAAGGTCGAGCGTATACACTGATGGAATTCGAACCCACAACCCGTAGATTGCAAGTTATGTGCCCTAACCACCAGGCCGTACAAAGAACTGAAAAAGGTTGGAAGGAGAACCAAGAAGAAAAAACTTAACTTCATAATTTAGCTCAAAATATTCTTTAAAACACAACATTCAGATTACTTATAACTTACAATACTTACATGCTCTTAAATGCCATGAATTTCATCCCTGCATAATTGTTATAGACTATATATTTAGCCCCCCAGTGGCACAGCGGTATGTCTGCGGACGTACAACGCTAGAAACCGGGTTTCGATACCCGTAGTGGGCAGAGCACAGATAGCCCTTGTGTAGCTTTGTGCATAATTAAAAACAAACAAACAAACAAACTATATATTTATTAAGGTATATTCACGTAATATTTTTTTCCAAATTTCGATGCAGTTTCTTCATCTAATTAATCTTATACCTGTTGACTAAATGCCTCAATCCTATTATACAGGTAATGGCTACATACTGCAACCTTTGTTATTAAATCTCAACCTAATATTCATGTGTTTCTGTATGGATGTCTTGGAGACAGCGTATTTAAACAGACAATAAAGCAACTTGTACACCGGTTTTGGCTTAAGACTGTCTGTAGAACATTGTCTGAAGTATATAGTCTACGTGTGGAAGATCTGGCTTTCTTTGTGTTGTTAGCATATTTAGGTATTTTAATACTTCTCTCTGTTGCTCATATTTTCACTTGGTTTTTACTTATTGTTTAGCAGCCTTCAACCAAAGCACCAGATGATACAGATGAAAGATAGTCAAATCAGGTGATATTACACTTTGTTCTTAAACAAAGAATTTTTGTGTTTCAAAATACACTTTTGTTTTCTTGTAAACTGTCTATACTCAATTTATTATTCACATGAGTCATGAATCTGTGTTTTGTGGGAACTTTTAGTGTATCTTAATACCACAGACTAAGTAATGAGTAATTTTGGTGTTGTGACCAAAGAATCTGTTATTGTAGAATATATTTTGAAATATATTATTTTCTGTTGACTGTCTGGTGCAGTAACGTTTGTACTATGATGTAAGGTAA